TCTCATCGGTAAAAACATTTTGAATATCTCGGCTGCCATTGCAAAAGAAGAGCTAAAATTTTTATAGGAAATAATTCAAGGCCTAACAATATTATTTTTGTAAAATTTGAAAAAGGTCCTACAACAAGTATATCAGATATTTGAAAAAAAGGTAAAATACGATGGGCCTATCAAATTTCTATCAAAACTCAAATTTCCCCTAAAAGACCATCCAAAATACGAAGCTGTAAAACCATCAGTGCGTGTATCGAATGACAGGAATCTTTTGTTTTTTTCGGAATCAGAAAAGTTTTTAGCTTCCAAAATCGGCCAAGTTTTTGGCCTCTTTGTTTCTCATTAGGCCCTAAAAGGCAATCAAAAGGTCAAAACAGAAAAAGAAGCCCTTGATTCGAATGGTTTCAAAATTCAAAACATTTGATTCAAAATTTGAAATAATGGCGGCTTCTGGATTGCTAATTACAGAAATTTGAAAACAAAATAATTGAAAATTTGGCTTGAATATTTTTTTAAAACCATTTTAAAAAATGGTTTAAAAAATTTAAAAAATTAAGATTTTTTTAATTAAAAAATATGGAAAAATCCAAAAACTTTATTTAAATTTTTTTTGCTAAATAACTAAATTCAAATTAAATTTTTTTTTTCAATATTGAAAAAAATCTCTAACCCTCAAAAAAACGTCTTTCAGGAAGAACGGCTTTGTTTTTGAGCCTCCAAAAGCAGCGGTGTCCAATTTTGTTCCCATTTTTTAATTGAGTGAAAATTCGGCGGCAGCTAAATCCAACTAATAAAAAACGCAAAAAAAGAGAACGGTTTTGGGAAATAAATGAGAAAAAAACGAAAAAAATTGAGGACTCCGGGAATTTTTAAGATTAAAAAATCAAAATTTTGAAAGTCTTATTTAAATTTTGGCCAAAATTAACCTGCCTAAAACAAACGCTTTCTATAACAAACAATTTTTTTGTTCTCACAATTTATTTTACAAAGTTCCGACCCTATTTTAAAATACGAGGCCTATGCCATTGATATTCCTATAAAACTCGAGATAAATCAAACAGGAGTCGCGATTAAGAGTTATTTTTTCATTACTCATGTCACTCCCACGTTCAGCGGCACGTAAATGAACGCCTCTGGGGGGAAGTGTTTCCAAAAAGTCGTCAAACAGAACGGAGAGGATTTTGTGGGGACCAGCTGTTCCGCTCTCCCCACTTTAATCACAGTTCTACCACAGATAAATCGAGGGGAAATTGAGAAGCTTCAGTTGGCTAATATTAATAAAACTGAGATTTTTTGAAGAAAAACGGCATTGCAAAAAAATAATTTTGCTCTCAAAAAAAATTTCACCTTGTAAAGCACATAGTAATTCCTAAAAATTTTAACTCTAGCTTTGCAGTCGCAGCCGACATTTTTACCGCACGTCAATCGAGCGAATTTCCTGAACCGTTTCGAAACTTCGTATCGTTTTCATCGATTTAAAAGAGAGACGAAATGTCGCGAAATTATCGGCACTTTTCTCGCCCGAAATAATTGCTTTTTCTCGAAAAGAAAGGAGAAAGATAAGAAAATGCGTTTTATCGGATAGTGACATTTCGTTTTGAACGAATCACCAAAAAGGGGCGGGAACTTTTTTCTTCTATTTTGGATCGACGTGATCGCTCTTTGTGGGCGAGAGAGTATGGAAAACGAGGAGAAAGTCAAAGAAAATTTGGCATAAATTAATTTATCCCTAATTTAAAGCGAGATTCATGAAAATTTGAACGTTTCAAAAAAAATTTTTTCTAGGATTACAATTTTAGTCTTCCTAAAACAATCGCTGCATTCCAGTACTCTCAAATATCAATAACTATAACTCCTAACGCCTTTACAATCCACTAAAAACTTTTACAAAGCCCAAAACAACTCTTAAAACTCAAATTAAATCATTCTTTGTCATGTTATCCGCCACTTTGGCCGCACACTCCCTCTTTTTTATGTTTTCTCCTATGGCTCTTTGTCATTCTTACGCTTCGATCCGCCTTTCGGCTTCTGATTAATGAGGCCAAAGAAGAAATAGCCTCCGGATTATGGCGCAATTAATATTACGAACGCTATCTGATGGCAGACAAAATTTTCTTGGATTAAAATAGACATGAAGGTTTGAAAAATATAGATTTGAAAAAAAATTATTTTTTACTTTGACTGCAAAAAATTGGCAATTGTTTTTTCAGACTTTGTCCTTTTTTGGGTTGATAAATGACCTCAGGGAAAAGGCGGGAGTCAATTTAGATATTTTGGAAAGTTTGAAAAAGAATTTGGAGCGAAAATTTTTGCGGTAAAATACGTTGTGTTTGCAATACAAAAAATGTGAAAATCAAATTTCCAAATTAATAAAAGAAATCTATTTTTAAAAAGTCTTCAAAAATTTGACGAAATTCCACATGTAAAGCCGTGCTTTTTAACGGGTTTTGAAGACAACAAAGCCGTACTTTTAAAAATACGGAAAAAATATTTTTTTTATAGAAATATATCTTTCTACAGTAGCAATCGGCATGAAACTTTTCACGCCAAAATTCGCAAAAAAGTGTCACATTTTTCCCAACTTTCGATCTAAAAATCTCAGTTATTTCTGCAAAACCTAAGCTATTTTTCATTTCGCACTGTGCAATTTGTGGCTTTTTGCACCGTGCAAAAGCTAGCATGCCGTAGAAAAAATTTTTCTAAAATTTTCTCAGGTTTCATCAAAATCCGAGGGTCGCGCTTGAGGCAATTCCCCTGTAAATAAAATTCAAACATTTACGAACTCAAAATGTATCCAAGGAACCCTCCAAACTCATCAAAACAAATTGCTTTCCGAAACTTTTTGTATTTATTTGTTGCGGGGTCATTTCGCACTGTGCGCGCATTGTTTGGGCGGCGAAACGGCCGGTAATTAAAATCGCCGTACAGTTAGACGACTTTGTCGGACAAAACTGTAAATAAAATTCCGAATTTGAATATTAAAAATTAAATTTTTTGAATTTTCAAAAAAAATTTCAAAAATTAAAAAAAAAAAAATAAAAAAAAAAATTTTTTGATGACCAAACTCTAGATCGTATCTTCCCATACTCCAAAAAGTATACGGCCTTCTCCGCTCCATTTTCCAAGATCATTTTCGCGGACTTCCGAAAAAAGAGAAGAGAATTTGAATATAAAAGAAGACCGGAAATCCCTCCCGATCAAGAGTGGACCATCGCAACTCTTTACAATACGATTATTGGGCGCTTTGAAGTGTGAAGAGGCGTTTTGAATAAGATGAATCTTAAATTTGCATAAATATCTAAAAATATCTATGAAACCCATGCAAACTCGTAGAAGAACGTATTTTACATTCAAAAAGTAATAGCTAAAAAGGCTTTATATTCCTTGTGAGCCCTTTTGAAGTTATTTTCCACCAGATTGCTGGATAAAAACGCGCATTTTTATATTATCCTTGACATCAGATATGATGACGGAGAAAAAGGTGGATAATTTGCCAAAAAGCAGTTTAAAAAGTTCAGACACGGGTTAGCAATGTATGTTTTGACCTCATGGACTAATTGAGACCTCATTTGGTCAAGAACAAAGTCATTTGCCTTCCGCCGGCTCGCGCCCTAGCTTCCGCAGATTGCAGTGAAAAATCAACAACTTTTATTTTCTCTGCCAAATTCTCCCGAACACCTTTCGAAATAGCCGTGCTTCGCGTGTTTCCCCCGTATTTTAGACCTTTTCACTGCTTATTTCTCCATATTTAGGTCTCGCAATGTTCAGAGCGTCTTCCAAGTTCAACTTATCCCGAGATGGCACCGATTTCAGCACAAATGGCGGATGTTTCCAACTAAATCGGGCCGAATCAGAGTACAAAAAGCAGACAATACTCGGCAAACGGAAGCCAGAAGACCAACTACGAGACTGCGAGCACAAAAAGTTCAAGCATTCCAGCTGAAGAGCCCTTGTAAATAGTTATACTAACTATATATATTATCCATGACTTCTACCGCCAATTCTACTAACCTTTGTTGTTTAACTTAATAAATCTTTGTCTAGCAAGCATCTAAAATTCATATTCTTGCTAAATATATCTGGTTTTATCCACATGAAGTACCTTAACCACCAAAATTTTGAGATTTTACCTTATAGTAGGCAGCTATTGAAAAAATCTCAAATTTCGCCTCGCAATTCGAAATTTTGATCATAAATCTTTGTCTAGCGAGCATCTAGGAGACTTATTATTGCTATATATACCTGGTTTTATCCGATTGAAATATCTTAACCACTTAAATTTCGAGTTTTTACCTTGTAGTAGGCATCTAATTGAAAAAATCTCAAATTTCGCCTCGCAATTCGAAATTTTGATCAGCCAGGTTGAATAATTACACAAGGACACCTCCTTTTATAAGATCCTTGCGCAAATTCCGAAAAGGGAAAGGTGCATTTACCGGAAAATTGTTCTAATGACCGAGAGTTTCCTTATAATGGACGTAATGGCTGAGCGAACGCAACCATTATCGAGTGTAAATAGAACTTTAGGGCAGGAAATTGGTGTTTGTGCAGTGTTCGACAAAAGGGACTGTATTAAAGATCGAACTTCAGGATGAAGTCCTCATGGATAATATAATTTTTTTTACAGAATTAGTGTAAGAGACATATTTCATATAAAAGTTGAATTTTTAATTACATGAACATCAAAAATTGCCGGTTTGGCCATCAAAACATCAAATTCGAGTTTTTTGTCATGGATAATATAAAAAATTTTTGAGATGTTTTGACAAAATGGCCTAAACTTCCTGAAATAAATGCTCATTGCATTTTTTTGGAAAAAAATCGATTTTCCCATTGAAATTTGCATTGTTTATCATTTTCAGCAAGTACAAGATGAATTGTCCGAAAATCCCGACATTTTTCATTCATTTCCGCAAGAACCACCTGCAGACGGTCGCCCTCGTCGTATTTTTCTCCAGTTCCGCTGAAATTCCGTCAAGGAACACCAGGCAGCATCAATTTTCTTGATGGCGGGAACCGCGAGTAATCTCAATCTGACCGACCTGTTGATCCGCCTTCTCAGTGTCGGCAATCCGGAAAAGGGTCTGACCAAAACAGTGAAGGATGAAGAGATCTTGACAGTCTGCGGTAAGAGTATTTGTTGATAGTGTTTTGTTATTTTAGGCAACAACATTTGAATTTTGATCATTGAGATGGCTGATTCTTATGTTTTCAGCAAAGGCTCATGATGTTTTTCTCTCACAATCAGTGTTTGTTGAGATTGATCCGCCGGTTCGTATTTGTGGCGACACTCATGGCCAATATGGCGATTTATTGCGTCTTTTCAATCGAGGAGGGTTCCCGCCCACCTCGAACTACTTGTTTCTGGGAGATTACGTTGACAGAGGACGCCAGAATCTTGAGACGATCTTGATTTTGTTTATTTACAAGGTAATACAAAGACTTTGTCAAATTTACATTGTTTTAGCTCAAGTACCCGAATAATTTCTTTTTGCTCCGTGGAAATCATGAGTGTGCCAACATCAACAAGGTCTATGGTAAGTATTTTGGCTTTTTCTTGCTGTTTAGGACGTCTTGTTCAACGTTGCAACGAATTTGTTTCTTTGTTGGACTTTATATTACTAATGGGGTAGTCGATCCAAAAATTGATGGTTTTCTTCCAGGATTTGCCGAGGAGTGTGCGCGCCGTTATCAACAGAGTGGCCAGAGGATCTGGCAAGCGTTCCAAGATGTTTTCCAAGTGATGCCACTCTCTGGTTTGGTCGGGGATCGAATCTTATGTATGCATGGAGGAATCTCGCCGCAATTGAAGAGTCTGAAGCAATTACGGGATATCAAACGGCCCAATGATGCTACGGGACCCACATTGGAGATGGACTTGCTCTGGGCTGATCCAGTTGTGGGCAAGTTTATTTTTTGGATAAATTTTTTATTGTTTTAGGTAATTATGGCTAAAATTTTTTGAAAATTCCGGTTTGATGCCGAAATCAATATAATTTTGGTCGTTTTAATAAATTGGCCTACAGAAAATCTCCTGATTGTTCTGTTTTTAGGTCTTACCGGGTTCCAAGAGAATATGAGAGGAGCTTCCTTTGGCTTTGGTCCAGATGTCTTGGCCAAACTTTGTGCGGAATTAAATATCGACATGGTCGCCAGAGCTCATCAAGTCGTCCAGGATGGGTATGAATTCTTCGGCAATCGAAAGCTGGTCACCATCTTCTCCGCCCCACATTATTGTGGCCAATTTGACAACGCTGCGGCTATGATGATCGTCGATTCGAACCTCGTCTGCTCATTTCAGGTAAGGACTTTTTTTATTTGTTGTCTTTTTTTAGGGTGAATAATGGGATTGAGAATTGATGATTGAATTTGCAGATCCTCCGCCCGACCCTTGGCCGTGGCGTCACCAAAACTGTGCCGACTTCGCAAGGAAAATGTTGAAAAATCTGAGAAAATTGATGATTTCCAATAAATAAATCGTGATTTTTGATGTTGCTTGGGCTGTTAATGTTGTAGAAAGTCGTTTCATCGTTGATGTTATCTGTTTGATTGATATTTCCGCGTTTTGCTTTGATTGCATACCATTTTTATATTATACTTGACGCCTTTGATGTGACCGTTGTTTTGAGCGGTTGCAAAACGTTTATTCGAACAAAAAGTCAATAAAAAAAGTAATACTCATAAATGGGGAGAGAAAACCGGGCAAAAAAGTATATCTGTTAAAAAATCTTGACACAAATACTTTAAAAAACGAGTGGAAAGAAGTGGCTGTACAAATTGCGTTATAATGCGATTAAAACAAGTCGAAGTCTACGCGTTTGAGCCGAGAATAGAGCGCTAATTACACCGTGGGACTGGCAATGTCTTCTTCGTTGTGAAATAGGATCGCGTAAGGAGGATTACATAAAATTTTGTTGAGGATTTCGGGATTTTCGGATCAAAGACCTTATTGATGGTGTTGTCGATCAAGAATAGGAAGTTAGATGATGTTGAATGGAAGATTCGATCATCCCACTCCATTTAGGAAGGTGACAACTGAGGTTTTCCTGGAAAATTGCGTATTAGAGGGGAAATTATATGGCACATGACATTAAAAAATTTTTTTGTAAAAGAAGGTCTGTAAAGCTGTTAGTACCATAAAATGAGCTTAGTGATATCCGCAGATATTTTATGTATAATCCGGAAGCTTAACTTAAAGTGCGAGGTTCCGTAAGCCAGCGCCCAAAGAAAGAGTGTTCCCGCTGCGGGACCCAACACGGCAGATCTCTCTTGCCAGAAAATAAAAAAATTGTTTTTTTGTTGTACAAAATGGATCAAACAATGTGAAAGATGGATGGAGATCAGTGAAGAAGGTATGTTTTATTGTGTTTTCTGATTTAGAGCAGCTCGGCAAAAATTTTTACGAAATCTGGTCCAAGATTTTTTGTGTTTTGAGCGATTTTACGCAATTTTTGACATAACGAAGCATGAAAATAGGTGTAGTTTCCCAAAGAACCGTCCAGGAGCGCTGGTGATTGACTTTTGGTCAAGTTAGAGGCAAAACCTTCACCAAACTGCCTAGTACAGGGTGACAAAGAAAAAATGCAACTCATATTTATGGCCATATTTTGTCTAAAACACCAAACTTAACCAAAGTAACGGTGAATATCAGTAACATAGAGCATTGTTAATAGTATGCTCGACCAGTTTTAAGGTGGCTGTTCTTGGCCCCGAGATAGAGCTCAAAACGTGACTTTAAATTTTGGCCGATTCGCCGAAGCTTTTTTTGGGGAAATCGGTTCCGTTCTTACCGCAGCAATCAATTAGCGGCTCCAAACTTTTTTGGCGTGAACTAGAGGTCCTGGCTTCTAACTCAACAAAAAACATAGTCCACCGGATTCAGATCCAGCGAGTAGACGGCGATTTCGCAGACCACATAAAATCGGGAAAACATGTCCTTTCCTGGCCTTGCGTCTTTTTTGCTTTATAGCTGATGGGGGAATCATGCTACGGTGTCTGTTTTGAACCGCCAAAGTGCTACTGAGCCCACGGAATCACGATGGTGTACAAAATGTCGCTGGTAGACTTATCGGTTTGGTTCTGGCCCCTTTATCCAAGAAAACCAAGGAAAACCAAGGATATCACGCCGCTGGCGCAAGACTTTGCCCCAGGCCATGAGAGGTCGGATTTTTACTGGGTTCAAAAATGGCGGACGGTTTTTGACTCTCAACAGTCCAACTCCTGCAATTCTGGTGGTTGTAGGCCTGCTCGATGTTGAAATACTTCTCATCCGCGAACAGGACCTTCTCTCATCGCTGAGCTGCGGCGCGACGCTTGAGTTTTCGACATTTTTTGAGCCGTACTTGCTTGTAGTGTTCCGTGAGGCGCTAGGTCTTTTGGAGCTTGTTAGGCTTGCGCTATGGTGCATTACTGGCCATTCATCGACCAGCTGTTGTGTTGATGACGGTCTGCCGGGCAATCTTTTTCATGGACACCATCAGATTTTGCTTCACTCGCTTTTTGATGATCTCAAAGTTGCCAGAAGTGTTCAAGATGCGCTTTCTTCTATTTCCTGGACACTTAACATCGTGGCCAAGCTCGTGGATTCGTTTGGTGGCTTTTGGCATAGCAGATTTTCCTACACCGAGCAGTTTAGCAATCTCACACTGTCCTTTTTCTTCCCGAGACAGGTTTAAAATCGAGGTCCCTCTGTTTGACACTCAATACAAAGATGATAATCAATCGATATGGGCATGAAAATCAAAAGACTAGGACAGAAAAACACGGAGAATTTAATGGTATAAAAAATATTTCGCTACACCTAAACATTTTCGCGGCAGGACCCATGAAAAAAAGTTGCATTTTTTATTTATCACCCTGTATAATATAATTTTTTCCAGGAATTCGAATCCAGATGCAGCCAGACGGCTAGACTTCACCACGAGGACTCGTTGAAGCCAGAAGAATGCTCGATATCGTCCAAAGTCAATGCTGCTTTGACCTTCCAACTTTTTCCGGGGCTGATGTCGCATCGAAAAGGTGAGAGTTTTGCTGTGCTTTCACGTTTTAGGCCTGGATGTCTTTGCTCCTTGAGCAAGGCAATGGGTGTTGCTTCGCAATGATGCTATCTGGAATGCGGTTGTTTCATCTTGCGTCACAGCAGACCTAATATATCCGGTGTAATACAATTTTTTTAGGCGATCACTCCCCCGACCGCGAAGTTTGGACTATGCGAAACATGTGGGACGTTATATGGACGATAAAGAAGGTCTCGCAGAGGACAAACACTGAGGAAAACATAATCAATTTATTGTAAAAATAGCAATAAATATTTTGATATTCGTATAAAGTATAATACCATTGATCTGGCTGTTGTTGAATCTGTAAGAGTGGGCTGCTAAGTCCTCCGGACCGGGCTGCCGACATGGTACTGAATGAGCTGGTACCCCTGAAAAAATTGTATTACACTGGAATATTGGGTCTGATGTGGCGCAAGACGAAGCAACCGCATTCCAGATGGCATCATTGCGAAGAAACCCCATTGCCTTGCTCAAGGAGCAAAGACATCCAGGCCTAAAACGTGAAAGCACAGCAAAACTCTCACCTTTTCGATGCGACATCAGCCTCGGAAAAAGTTGGAAAGTCAAAGCAGCTTTGACTTTGGACGATATCGAGCATCCTTCTGGCTTCAACGAGTTCTCGTGGTGAAGTCTAGCCGTCTGGCTGCATCTGGATTCGTATTCCTGGAAAAAAATTATATTATACTAGGCAGTTTGGTGAAGGTTTTGCCTCTAACTTGACCAAAAGTCAATCACCAGCGCTCCTGGACGGTTCTTTGGGAAACTACACCTATTTTCATGCTTCGTTATGTCAAAAATCGCTCAAAACACAAAAAAATCTTGGACCAGATTTCGTAAAAATTTTTGTCGAGCTGCTCTAAATCAGAAAACACAATAAAACATACCTTCTTCACTGATCTCCATCCATCTTTCACATTGTTTGATCCATTTTGTACAACAAAAAAACATTTATTTTCTTTATTTTCTGGCAAGAGAGATCTGCCGTGTTGGGTCCCGCAGCGGGAACACTCTTTCTTTGGGCGCTGGCTTACGGAACCTCGCACTTTAAAGGTCAAAAGGGTAAATCTGTCAATTAAGGGGATTTTTTGGAGATAATAATATTATCCGTGTAAGATGAACCTTTTTGAATTGAAAATCGTTGGAATAAAGCTGCTAAACGGATATTATGGGATTATCTAGGGCCTAGAGAGCGTATTTAGCAATAGAAACTAAGCTTTAGAGAGCTAAGTTATGTTATCCATGGCAAAAAATAGGCCTTGCCGAAAGTCTTGTTATGCATGAAGCTCTTACTTGGTTGTCTGATCTTGATACGGGTCGTAGTCCAAATCACAGCGAAGGCAAGATTTTAGAGGCGTGTTTTCGTCAAATCCGAAGTTCAACGGGGTTGATCCATTTTCGGTTCCGGTGTCTGTCGATTGGCAGTTACATCTGGGTGATATCTAAAATAATGATCGTTACTGGGAGAGTCGTTATATAAAAATATTGTTTTGTGATCTATCTACAAAAAATTTGTTGTTTTGTGGGTTGCAAAGTGCAGTATGTACGAGGGATGTTCTTACCATCTTAATTTTAGTATCGCGACTGTCATCCGGTTTACTAGTTACGCTAACTCTGGTTGTCCCATTCCTGACTTGATAATACGAAGCGATCGATTTGGATCCCCTTCGTAAATCTGTTGAGTGTTGCAGTTTAAACCTTCGGTAGCACGACTTTAGAACCGCTATCACCTAAAAATTAGAATGAGATTGGCATTGAGTGGCCTGAACTTACCTCCCGATTGGTGAAACAATAAATAATCGAAATGAAAAATCCCTGATACATGTAGGTGAAGGACGCGACGTACGTCCATATGGCAAAATACTAAAACAATTTGGGGATAAGGAAAGATATAAAATGTGATTTTCAAAGGTTATCACAGCATTTGACTGGATCAAGCGTGCAAATGTCTCCAAATGCATCCTTGAGGCAACAAAATGCTTTCTAGTGATTCTTTCTTGGCCAAAAATAGCCTCTCTGAAAGAAACAAAGAGAAACAAACTCTCTCATTGTTGTTTCTTTCAGAGAGACTATTTTCGGTGAAGCGGGAGTGATTAGGAAGCATTTTGTTGCGTCAAGGGTGTGTTTTTGCCGCGGAAGCCTATCTCCGACTGTGTTACGGTATAAAGAGAATAGAATCAACTCACCATCATGTTTTCCTGAGTGGGTGAAAATGGAATGGTCTGCATTATATTGGGAATTCCCAGCAATGGTATCAGCATCAGCGCTGCTTTCACACTTTTTCTGAAATTGTAGCCATTAAGTTTTGGAAAAATGAAATTTTTTCGCTTGTAAAATAGTTTGTGGTTTTTGGGATGCAAAAATTATTGCTTGGTATAATTTTCTTCGTAAAAGGTTTGATTTTGAAGGTTCGCTTTCACCCTATAAGAGAGAAAAACGAACACCCACTTCATCCTGTCCAGTTCGCTGGTGCTATGCGAATCTCGGACCTTTGACCACAGAACCCGTATCACGTTGCAGATGAAAAGGGTGTTGATAACCAGTTGAATCATCCTCGGGCCGTCCAAAATCCAAAAGTCTGGCTCCAAATAGTAGTTTCCCAGACATCTCTCCACTTTTCCCTGCTTCCTGACCACAATTACGGCTAGCCATAGCATCGTATGTAGAAACGGAATTCCGTAGCCAGCAACTAGGTAGGGTAGTAGCTTCGGTTCCGTATTGAAAACCGTGAAAACCAGTTGGTTATGCAGGTAGAAGCCCTCCAAAAACATCCACCAGAATCCGACTGTTTTGAAGTATTCCAGTAGGAAGTAGGCCAACTCGCAGACAAACACCATTGAATTGATGGTTTTCCCGCCCAGGTCCGCCATCGGCTGGGAAATGTCCGTAAATTGGAGGTCAATGTAGATGACAAGTCGAATGATCACCATCATCATGATGGCTATCATTAGTTGAAGGTGCAACATGTTCCGAAATACCCGTAATCGGCTGAAATTTTTGGGTAGAGATTTTGATGAGTTAAAAAGTTGGTAAAGGGGTGACAATGTGACCGAAAAGTTATAAGAAAAGAATGAAAATGGGTTGAAAATATGGGTTATTGTGAAAAAACATACCTGAATGAGGAGAGGATTAGAATACTAACTAGCAAACTGATAAATGACAAGCCAAGCCCGACAAATTCCAATTTCCTCGTATTTTTGGCGATTTCTTGTGCCATCTGGAAAGAAACGTGATAAGATCAGAACATATCGTAAAAATGCCAAAATTGCACAGCACCAGTCTGTTGGGAAAATAACGTGGATTTGCGCGACAAATCCACATTATTTTCCCGAGATTCTGAGATACAGTATACCCGATTTTTGTGGTAACTGCTTTTGGAATTTAAAGGACGGTTGACTTACAACAAGTGACCCGTTACTCATCCTCATAATGTCTTCCACTTGTTGAGTGAAGCACATGGAGAAGTTTGTCCATCCGTATGGCCGTGAGAAGTCGTCGGCGGTTTTGCCCTGCCAATGACCGCTCGAATGGCATATCTTCGTTATTGTTTCTGTAATTAATGTCCAATATACTTTTTGATTAGTTTTTTTGGATTAACAGTAAAAATTATACTTCTAATTATGCCAATTACTTGTTGGCATTTAAACGGAATTTTAATTCATTTAAACGTGCTATAAATTTGCATAGTCATGAGCTTTGTCGGATAAGACTTACTGGCTGGGTTAAGCCCCTTCAACGGCGGGCATTGTAGGGTTATTGTGGAGCCGGCGGGCGTGGCCGGCCAGCAAAGCACAGTGTCCCATGTCGCGTTGCACCACAATGAGCCGTCGTCTAAAATTGGGGATGAGTTCGTGGGTAGAGCGAAGGATTAACATTCTTTTTTTTCAATACTGTTTTGTTATATCGACGCTGTTCCGAATCTACCCTTTCGCGAGACCTTTTTGTTTACTGTAGGGGGATAAAGAGTAAAAAAAGTAAAAAGAAGACAAAGATTGTAGTTTCGGAGTAAAATTTGGGAGCAAATGCTGCGAAAGAAGAATAAATGAAGGTTATCACAGGTAATCCTCTGTACAACGAATCGCAAGGGACCAAAAAATTTATTCGTTATTCCTGGGACCTCTGAAATTTGTTCGTTTTTAGGCAGGTGTTGTTGTACTCGAGTTTGTTGTGCAGAGGTACCATTGTAAAGGAAATTAATCTATTACAGTGGAACCTTTGTATAACGAACTCCGGTACGACAAACCCTGTCTATTATGAACAATTTCGCAGGTTCTACGCTTCGTTGTGAGGCCAAGGTGAATCTCCATGCAACTAAACCCTTGTAACGAATCATTTTTTGGTTCCTTGAGGTTCGTTTACATAGACTATGCCAGTTCTTCTCACAAATATTGGCAAACGTCTTTGTTAAAGACCGTTGGTAACGTGCAGTTCAAAAAACACCTCGAAATTTCTCAAAACCACCTACCGGAATGCGGGAAGGTGGGAAGCCCGCCCTTCTCGAGCGCCGCCAAACATTGATCCATGGTTTCGGCGAGATTGGAGCGCAGGCCCTCAATCGACAAGAGCGCATTGTGCGCGAGCGGCGCCAACGGCGTTGAGAGGGCGGTCGATGTGGAGGGCTGAGCGTTGGTGACATAATGCGACACATTTCGGGCCGGACTGGCCAAAGACATGCGCCTGCAAACAGGAAGGAAGCGTTAGTGTGGGTCGGCTGAACGTCAATGCGGGTTTAATCTGCACATGGTGAACTTTAGCCCGACAGAAACGTGCAAAACTTTAGGTGGAAATTGTAACTTTTTCTCGTTAGAACAGTGGAAAAATCTAGAGTGAAAGACATGCCTATAACAGCAGAGACTAACACTACCCATAAATCCAATCCGTCTCCCTCAAACTCGTCTCAAAACTGCGCAGTACAAGCGGGTAAACAGGAAGGGCAAATGGTTTACATTTTACGACGTTTCCGGAAGAAATGCCACCAAAATACTCGAAAAACATGCCAGTAAATTTGTTAAATTTACCTTGAAAATCAAAAAATCTCGATTTTAAAAACGAAAAGGTAGTTTTGAAACTAATGGAGTACTTGAAATTTCGTTCGAAAGTGATCTTATGGGTTGTAATTTAAAAAAAAACTTCAAAAATAAAGCCCTTCCCTGCCAATTAAATCCGCGGTGTTTGGAATAATAACATATTACACACTAGTATTTTGGGAGTACATCAAGTAAAGGGAAGGCGATGAAAATTAGTTTTGGGAGATTAGTGACGCATGATGAGAGATGGAAGGCTTATTGCCCTCACATCACTGCCATGTCATGGATGACACATGCAATGTTGTAAAGGGCAAATGAATTGATGGCATTGTCTTTGGGGACGTTTTGAGCTACAGTTATTGTTTTTTTTGGAGAGGAAAAAGGGTGAAAAATTAGAAAAAATGTTGCAAAATGTGGTCAAGATACAGTTATGCTGTCAAATCAGCGGGGTTTTGATGATTTTTGTTATCAAAAAGTCACATTTTTTCTGCCGTTTACTATCGCTGAAAGAAATGACAAAAAAACAGGGCTTTATGCCAATAAAAATTCCGAATTCCAATGCATAAAAACTTCAAAAAACACATTAAAATGTTTATTACTTTGTTGTTTACAACAATTTGGCGCTTTCAGAGTCCAAGACAACTTTTTTGCCCTAGAAAATATTTCAATAACGAATTTTAAGCCTTTTACAGGACTATGACGAAACACAAGTAATAGATTTCTAATTCAATTATGATCCAGAAAAGGCTTGTAGACAGGAAAATTAATTAGTGACCGTATAAAAAAAGACTAAAATCATCTATTTTACAGTCTTGTCATAACAACTTGCTTATTCTTTTGACATATGACCGAAAATTGGGTTAACTGTCGCCGGTCCAAAGACTGAGTTGTAATGAGGCCGCTGGATAAAAAATTTAGAAAATGTGGCAAAAAATTACAGCGGCGAAGGGCAGAATTAGTAATGAGGTGCGGAAAGGTTTTGTCTCAAAAGTTTAATGAAACTTGGCAAAAGTTTAGATTAATTTTTATTTTTTTTTTGAGACATGCACTATAAATCACTATAGCTCAGTCCAGACTGGGGTCAATTCGCTAACTGAAACTTGGCTAAAAGTTGGTCTAAAATGGTAGGGTTGTAAAATAACGGAGGAAGTGTTTCAAGAGCGGCGGCCACACTTTTTTCTAAAATTTGGCCCTCACATTGCGCCTAGATCAGGGGCCAATGCGCTAACTGAAACTTGACTGAAAGTTGGCCTAAAAATGGTAGGGCGCAGCTGGGAAAACTTGCACGGGCGCAGCTCGCGTCTTGGGCGCAGCTCGAAAACAAGCTGAAACAGCTCCGGCGAGCTGCGAAAGCTTGTTTTTCGAGCTGCCCCCGAGATGCGAGCTACGCCCGTGCAAGTTTTCCGAGCTGCGCCCTACCATTTTCAGCCAACTTTCAGTCAAGTTTCAGTTAGCGCATTGGCCCCTGATCTAGGCGCAATGTGAGGGCCAAATTTTAGAAAAAGTGTGGCCGCCGCTCTTGAAACACTTCCTCCGTTATTTTACAACATTAAAAGGAATTGAAAATCAAAATCTGTCGTGCCATTCCGCAAGTTGCGTGCCAGATCCCCATTTCCGATGACTTTTGGAAGTTGCGAATCCAATTTTTCATACAAACTCGATTACATCCCCCAAGGCCTGCTATTCGAATCTGATTTGCCGGAAGACGTGACTTGAACGAAAAACATTCTTTCGAACAGCAAATCGGAAGATGATTACATCTTCTGGCATTTGAACGTCTCTGCCAAATGCCAGAAGAGTCAAGAAAAAATGCATGACAAACTGGCAGAAATTAGAATCATGGAGCTCTTTTTGAGCGGATGATTATTGACTTCCGACATATTATAGTGGATGTCATTGGAATTTGCGACGGGAATTCGTTTTCGAATGTAATAACTAATAGTTTTTTGGAATGGCGGAGTGGTTCGAGGATGCGTAAGCAGGGGGAGTAATAAAAAAATGGAAATGCAGTGTACGAAAAATTGCTTCTTTGTACAACACTAACATCTCAATGTTCTAAACGATTTCACGGGGTTTAAAATTGCACGCGTGGGGAATTCCCAATGTCTAGGGACTTTAAAACTTTTTTCGAGCGTTTTAATTGCCGTTCAAGAAGACCGAAACGTTCGTGGTTCCAAAAAGTCCAAAATTCCCAGAGAGATTTGAACTCCTTTAGAGCCGTTTTGCTCTTCGGTAGAAAGGAAGCGGAAGCTTACAATTAGTTCACTAAAAAGTCGGACATTTTCGCCAACTTGCGACCGAAAAGCCTCGGTCGTTTCTGCAAAGCGCGAGCTAGAAATCTTGCATGTGCCTTCGAAAAATTTAATATGAAGTTGTACCAAGTTTCATCAAAACCTGAGCGCCGCACTTCCAGTATTTGCCTTTGGAACATGGGGTTTACAGTGTTTCAACGTCAGAGATTAAAAATGGGGACGGATAAGACTATAATTTCCCGCAAAAACCCAAGAAGAGTACGAAGTGAACTATGTATTAACCAGTAGGGGCAAACATAATTCATTTTTAATTTGTTGGTGTATAGAATATCATACCAAGAACATTCATAATAAAGATGCGACTCATAGATTTTTATAAAAATTTAGCCTAGGGCACATGTCAATTATTGAGAATGTTCGCTACGCGAGCAGAGAGAAAGGCGCATTTAGCTATACTTTTACAAATGTCGAATTAAAAATCAAGATTTTTAGTGAAAATGCTATCCATCACAGGAGAAACAGAACGCCAAAAATTATATTATACAATTTTCTACGGCCTAAAATACGACCAATTTTTAACAACTTTTGACAAAAAAACCACAGCTCACGGCAACCGAAATAGAAGAAAAATATTTCCCGCCCACTTTTGAGTTCCGTCCAAACGAAGTGTCAAAATTGACAAAAGAAATAAAATAATTCCGAGAAAAACGTTTTTCGGTCGGAAAATCCCACGAAAAATTCCTTTGTGACATTTCGTTTGATTTCAACCGATACAAAATGGGCGAAGTGTCGAAAGGAGCCAGGAAACACTTCGGGTTGCCGTGCAGCTGTTTTTTTGAACTTGCCTATCAAATTCTGGCATGTGTCTTGGTAAACAGCAATCTTATTTTGCACCAAATTTTATGAAAATCTCAGCCTCGAAAATCAAGCGCTTTTCGGGTCTGCGAAGACAAAAATAGCCCAGAAACAGATAGTCAACATGCACTGGCGAGATTCCTCTTCAAATATTTTATTTATAAAAGCCAAAACCGAATAAAATATAAGCCCAAGAACATGTATAGACGGAGGCGCGGCCCCGGCAAATGTCATGCAGAAACGTTTAGCGGAGGAAACACAGCTGAATTATTTATTTGGCAAGAATTGGGGCGCTGATTCTTCAAGAATCTTGGGCTCAAAGCACTTTGATTTTTCAGTTTGAGCATAATTTTTTTCTAGTAGTACAGTAGAACCTCTGCACAAAAACACCTCTTTATACCGAAGATTTTTTGGATGTCTCAAAAGTTAATTTCAGGCCAAAATAAACCTAATATAACAAAGTTAATTTTCGAACTGACCTGCGGTTCGTAGTACGGAGGTTTCGCTGTATTTGAGAACATTTAGAGTATTTAAAAAAAGCAAAAAACAAAAATTGCTTCCGTGTCGAACCCTTTGATGCCTGCTTTGTTTACAGCTCCCTGCGAAACCGGAAGACAACATGAAAACAAAGTAGAACTAGAAATAGACGTAGTACGTCAAATTGGCGACAAATTTCACGGCTACTTTGCGATTCTGCTGGCTCAGTAGGCGGAGAATTAAAAACAATTTTGCCTCATAAAATATGATAAAAACAATTTGACGAGTTGTAGAACTAATCATATCAGCAGAGGAAATTTAATGCTTAGATTTTGATGAAACATGGCGCAGATTTTACAGGAAATTTTTTATGATATTTGGGAGATTTTTCGCTTTTTTTACAAAAATAATAGAGACTTTGAGGTCAAAGGTTGGCAAAAAAATTCTCATATTTTTTTGCGCGGAGAGGGGTCGGAAAAAATTGCAATTTGTTTTTGATGCGATATGCATGTTTTTACAAAAAATTAATATTTTTCATATGAATAGATAATGAAATGTTTCGCTTTCTAACCACTCCCATATTTATTCTCTCGGCCAGAAAGATCGTTGAATATCTGGGCTGCGGTAGCAAAGCGCAAGCCAAATTTTTACGCAATTGATAAGTGGCAAATATAAAATACTTGGGCAAAATTTCAAGAAGACCTGAGAATAGCACTATGAGCAATTCGCTTGCAATTATTTATGATCTATAAAAGGTTTTACTTGGAAATTTGGACGTTTTCTACATTTTGAAGACTACAAATTTTCCACAGAAAAGTTTTATGATACACCCACCACCTCGTGATATTATTAATATCCCAATCTAAAATTAAAAATTCTCGAACCTCCCGAAATTTCGAATTTGAAATTAAAAATGCGACTAAGCAAACCGCCTCTCATTTATTGGCAAAACATGTGGCCAAAGATGAATATTCTCATCGGAATTTGTCAGAACGCATCAAACCGCTCCCCCCGAAAATAATAGGCTTTCAATTTTCCGACCCTCAGGGCATGTTCGGTTCA